GTTGGTGGCCTGGTGGGCTTCGCCGTAGTCCTCGAAATTTCCCCCAGCGTGAAACGGAAATCCCTGGCTGGGATTACCCTACCCGCCCCAGGGGTCACAAACCTGGAGGCCTTCGGCTGCGAGATCTTCATGACCTTCTTCTTACTATCGGCTGTTCTCTCGAGCTTTGAAGAACTTCGTCCATCAGAGTGGAATGCAACTAATGGGGTAGGAATGGCCCTGACTGTTGGACTTGTATCTGCCCTGCTCAGCTACATTGGGGTGAGCATGCTTACTATCCTTTTCTATTTCTTGTTCTTGTAAACGCGGCTGGCAGTTATTAAAGCACATAATCCCGAGGGCGACATTAGCGTAGCCCTCAGGTTTTTTTGAGGATTGGGGAAATGTTGATTCTCTTGATGCCAAGTCGAGGAAATTACTGAGGACTACTACCGGAAATGTAACTGTCAACGAAGGCCACAAGCAGATGCTAAGCACAGTTCGTCGAGTTTGAATCTCCAGGGGGTAAGCTGAATAGACTACAACATGCTGAGACAGCTCAGTTTACGGGGCCTCAGATACACGAACAAATTTCTGTCCTTCTGTGAGGTGTGCAGACCCAAGTTCTCACACCTGGTTGAGTAGTAAGTGTCCAAATTAGCATGAAAACCGCAAATACTCCAGCACACGAAGGACTAAAATTCAAATGCGTGTACAGTAGGTGAGCTTACTAATTAAATCCAAGGATTTATACAAGAAAATCCCTGTTATCCACACGCAGCTGACGTTGCGTCCTCCAGAATCTTACAGAAATAAAGAAATAATCTTTCTTCAAAATAGGGCATGTTGCTGTTTATCAAGTAGCATTATAATATTTTAAAATACGAGCATTTTTATGGAAACGACAAATTCCAAAAATTACTGGAAATCGGGCGTACTAGCTTAAGCTTTAAATAAGGAAAAAGCCTGTTCATGCAAAAAAACGAGTAAAAAAAGCAGAACAAGTAAAATTTCGATGGGAAATAATCACTTTTTAAAATTTTTGGATACATATGCTTCCATGTTAAGCGCTATATAACATGCGGTTGTTAACAAACAGCCCAAAGTTCGAGTATGCCTTTCAATATGGCCTCACTGCTAGCTGTTTCTTCCGTTTATAATTTGCTGCAGTCGCTGTGGACGATGAAAAACAGATTTTTGCTTGATTACATTGATTAGATAGTCAGTGGAGTAAGAAATTTTGTGAGTTTGCGTAAGGAAATGCCGGTCAGTAACTAATAAATTTAAGTGGAACTGTCAGGTGCAATCGTAAACATTCTATTCCTGCACACTAAGAGGGATTTAATTCCGCCACATTTATTCGTAAGTATTTCGGTATTTCTATTACAATGGGGTTCAGGTTGTTCTCAGAATGGTGGCTTACACTTTACGTGCTTAGCAAAACCTTCAAAATAAGATATTTCTTGAACACGTTTACCTTAATAGTGAATTTTCGACAAGTTTTTTACAAAGTACGGGTGATGGTTTCAGAATCAAACAAACATGTCAACTCATTGCCGAGACAAACGAACGTCTGCAACAAAATTCAGATATTAATATGCCTAAGATCAATTTAAAGGCTTTCTGTAGCAAATTATCTATTGAAATGGGTATTTAATAAGATATTTTAGCGTCAAGTATCTGCTTAATTTATCTTTTTCAAAGATGAAGTCAAGATAAAAATGACAAAACGTGACCGGTTATTTAACTTTCCTGAGCTTCAAGAATAAGTCATATGATAAAAAGGAAAGAACTCGCGTTTCTGTGCAAACTAGAGGATGTTCAGTATACGTCCTTACTTTAAAGCCCTGTTCTTAGATTGCAAAAGTACCGCGGAGTGACAAAATATTTGCTGTAGTTTTGCAAACATTGTGATTTTTCTGCCCGTTCAGTTTAAAATTTCCCTATTCGTTCATGCTAAACTGTAAATAGAAAACCCTTGGACGTATTTTGCATACGGCTTGACAGAAAAAACTGATGATGTTTCTCGGGTGTTCACCTATATGCTTGCTTACGGTCGTTATTTTCGGTGTAGTGAAACAAATTACAGCATTTTAAGTTTTTTCCAAGCTTGCGACACAAAACGCAGTAGATTTACATAATAGAATTTTTCAAAATTAATCCGTTCTTTTTCGTTCGACAATAGTGCGCTTTCACATAGTTGCACTTACCTCGATTTCATGAACGTTTAGGTTTCTGGTCTCTTTTTATGTCCTTTTATAGTACATCATGCACGAACAAAAAAGGTTTGCTCCGCAGCATTTAGCAGCGTAGGAAATTCCTTCGATGTCAAGAAATGTTGGATTTGGCCTAATTGGGTCCAGTTTGTGGACACCATAGCTTTATTTAAACTACACTCTTTTCTAGTAAACAGAATTTTGCGTCTCGAGTCTATTTTATGTATAGAATAAACAACCACAAATGTGGGCTTAACCACACAGTCAAATTTCGATGTTCAAATTTCATGAGACTGGCTATCTACTGCATATAAGACGCAGTTGTATATTAGTTTCGTGGTGCTCCTGAGTTCGGAAGCGACATTTACTACTCTGCTTGCCCCTGTAGCTTAGTGGACTGTTGCCTTTTGGTATTATATATCTCCAACTGATCAATTGCAATCAACTACATGGTGCTCAGGAAAATTACTATTTCTGGACGCTCACGGCCTAGAAAAATCAACAAGACAGTCACAGACCTCCTGGAATGTCCTATATGAACACACGAAACCTCGATAATGAGCGACTGAAATAACAACTAAAACTTTCTGACATGACAAAGTACTATCGAAATTTAGCGTCAAACTTAAGACATTGTCCAGTTTTAATGGATTCCCCTCACAAAAACTGTTGCTGCAGTTTATGCCTTCACCGGGTGGTCAGGTGAGCTTACCCTCTTAACAAATAATTCTGGCCGCCCTAAATGCCTAGGATAGCTGAACTTACCTTGTGAGTTCCTTTTTATCAAGCCGTACCGAATGGTTACTGTACACTTTCTGCTATGCGACGTCTCTGAAGGAAGGAACGAAATGACTTGGCGTAGGTCACTTTCTATGAGATTAAGCTTGGAGGTACCGCGTCTCAACTCAAAATAATATCAAACTGGTAAAAGAGTGAGACTAAAAGCCCCGCCGGTGAGATCTTCCAGCTGAGTGCCGAAAAAGACGCTTCGCCATCATCGAAAAGGTCCAATTGAAAACACGGACTGAATACTGCGTGAAAATAGTTGCTCCAACTGAATGCATAGTGTGGCCTATTAAAAGTACACTCTCATGAGCAACCAGAAAAGCACAAACACGTCATTGTGTCTGTGATTATTCCCGGAGTCAGTCACCATAAAGTTAACCACCGTGACTCTGTTGGAGGAGCCTCCTGCTCTAGGAGTCCAAGATGTGCATGGCTGACGATTAGGAATAAAACAAAAACAGCCGGCTAAGTATCATTTTATAACACTTTGCAATTAGTTATTGCGCATTAGACTTTCACTATTTGACATTTCGAATGGGACCGCTTTTTTTCCGATTCCGTTTTCATATATATTGAGTGAATTTATGTGATGGATTACAACATTCCTGATGCAAAATTCGCTTTAGAGTTACTGGTAGAATAAGCCTTCGTTCTCCATTATATGTGTCCCGGAGCATTCCTTGCATATAGGAGATACATGAAAATTAATTTGCGCTTAAGAACACTTACAACGCGTGAACATGCGGTATTCTCCTTTTTTGTCGTTTCAAGGAACCGATTTCAGGAGCCAGCATGAATCCAACGAGGAGCCTGGTGCCAGCGCTTTTGCAAAATAATTATCAGTCTTTGTGGGTAAGTCCATACGTAAACAGATTATAACGCTATGCACCATTTTTCCAATACCCGTCAACTTCAGTGATTCCCTTGGCTAGGAGAAGAACACAAAGTGCGACCTGCTTAATACTTCCATTAGAATAGCGCGTTTAGCGTGTATAAGTACTGCAGTTCTTCTTATTTATTCAAAGGTAACGAATAAATTGCGAAGATACTTTTAATTACCTCCAAAGACAGTACTGTTATTGA